TATATACAGACAGTCTAAGTGAAAAGAAATATAAGTCAAGATTATCCAGGAAAAATAAAGTAAAACTCGCCTGTATAGCCTTTGGAATTCATCGTTATTGCAGGGGTTCATTGATTGGCTTTACGATTCGTGTTCACAGAGAATTTGCCCAGATTGTCTGAACACTTGTGACCTATCTTGTGCGTTGGATCTCTTTCGTTGTGGTGATCTGTTGCTCTTTCTATGACCCATCTGCATTCTGAAGAAACAACCTCAGTGAAACTTCTGGGACTAGGTCCTCTGATTGTTCCTGTTTTTCTGTGGATTTATCGTTCGTGATTCAGTTGTAGGGCCTATTCCTATTATCTTATCTGCTATACTCACTAAATGAAATAAAGAGGTGTCAGGGTCTCGTGCATCCAAACATTATTCGACGTAGCATGGAAGAGCTTGTATCCATCCTTGTTTTAGGACTGCTTCACCCACTGTGTTGTCAAGCACTAAGACTTGGAGGTGACGTAAAAAATGTGATGGTGGCCTATCATCTAATGTTTCTTCCTGGAGAAGCCTTTGGCTTTTTGGCTGTTTAATAATGATAAACGGTTCGTTATCTTTTGTCTTAAGATGTTATAGGGACCATGTGCAACAGAGATCCCCATGGGTTGTTTGACGGTTGTATGATTCCTAAGTCCATCATGTTGTCGAATTTGTTTTTCGCCAACCCTAGCTTTTCGGGAGGACAGTCGGCGTGCTTTAGAGAATACAGGTGGTCATGTAGTTGTGATGTAATGTGTAACGTTGCTGGTAACACACGGCAATTTCGGTTGCGATTTGTATATCCCAGAATACTTATCGAGTAGTGGTTGATAGAATCGGAGTTGCGGTGATGGTGGGCTTAATATCAAGTCACGGACTTCTTTGCCGCCTGTAGATTTAAAACCGATTCGTGAAGTCGGTCTTTAGAATTTGCAGGGAGAACTCTAACGTCTGCGCCAGTATCGACGAGTTGACGAACTCTCGTTATAACATCTGTGACGTATAACAGACGGCTAAGTTTGCCGGCTACGGTTGCCGTTAACGCGTGCCGGCTTGGAAGTTTCCCGAATCGTTTTTCGTGTCGGTCGATTTTGCGTCGGGAAAATTGCAGGGTTTTCTGCAATTTCTGGAGGACTTTCCATACTGGTTATTATACCAGCACCAATCGGGGTTATCTGTCTCTCGTGTTCTAGAGACCGATCGCTCACCTGATATGCTTCTTCGCGGAGTGTGACCGTTTACAGTCGTTACGAAATTTAAGATGACGTGTAAGTGTATGACATAATTCTGTAATGCTATTCCGGGTCGTCTGAGACTTTTCTTCTCCTTCAGCTAGATGAGTCCATTAAAACTAATGTGGCTAACATCCAATGTCAAAAACTTGCAGAGCTATTTATTTTGGGGATTTCTTTGCCGCTACAAGCTTGCTATATGTGCCGGCTCAGTGGTCCAGTAGGTTAAGCGTTCGCTCACGAGACTGAAGGCCCTGGGTTCGAATCCCGCGAGCGGGAACGTGAACGCGCGCTGCTGTGAAGTCCACTACTAGGACGAAACGGCCGTTCAGTGGATCCAGGTTTCTAACGGTGGTCTAACATAAGTCGATTCATGATCCACAACCCTAATACTGATAATTATGTGATGTTGTCCGCCCCGTTGTCCAATGCTTCTCGAATTTCGATTTCATCGTTTCGACCAGCAAGCGATGACCTAATGCTATGTCAGCTCCTCTCTTGGTTCTCACGTCCTCCTGAACTTTTTGTTGATGCAGATATGATCGATTTGGCTTTGTGTAGTGTGATTGTTAGGTTCACTAGATTATGAACGAGATTCGGTGACCGACGACCAGTGAGCTAGATAATGACGCGTCCCAGCCACAACTATCTAGAGGAAGAAGTCCAGGCTTGAAATGAGAAGTATATTCTGCAAAAATCAGAAACGAGCGATTCAACCAAAACACTTTAAAACGTATATATACGAATATATATAATCGTTATCGTCATTTAAATTTTTAAACATTCATCAATGAGATCGTCAATTGATTGTTATTCAAATATTTAAACATTTATTCGATAAAATTACAAATGTGATTTTTTGGAGGATTTATCGTCCTTAACAGTGATCCGGTGAAGTCCATGTGATTTTGTGGATGCGCTTATGTGGGAATATCATGCTTCCCATGACCAGATTATTGAAGGCACATAGGTTTGCGAATCTCTCACCATTTTCGTTCATTTCTCCCAGTCAGTGTCGTCATATCCGGTGTTGTCAATTCCAACCTTGGCATTTAGGTCTCCCATCAGAATGGTCAGGTCTTTTGTTGGGCACTTCTCGACGATTGACTTCAGCCTATCGTAGAATTGATCTTTAGCGTCTTCATTGTAGTCATTGGTAGGCGCGTAGCATTGGATGACGTTCATTGTAATCCCCGTTTTCTTTGTTTTGAAGGAGGCTTTGAAAATCCTTGGTCCATGAGATTCCCATCCTATAAGTGCATTTTGTGCTTGTTTGGACAGCATCAATGCAACTCCTTGTGTATGTGGGGCATTTTCTTGTTCATGTCCGGAGTATAACAGCAACTCCCCTGAAGCTAGTCGTTGTTGACCAACTAGCGTCCGATGTGTTTCACTGATCCCAAGCACCTCTAAATTGTATCTCCTCATTTCTGCAGCAATTTGGAAAACTCTCCCAGTCTCCCACATTGTGCGAGCATTCCGTGTACCTAAATAAATGGTTGCTCTGGTTGTCAGAAGGGACATTGGACTCGTGACTTCCGAAGAAACTCGGCTTTTATCAAGAGGCGTCATAATTCTTCTAAACGAAGACCTCCTGACTCCCAGGGCAGAGTTTAAATGGTTTGAATAATTTTTTCTGGTTAGCGTCATTTTTATCGAGTTAGTTTTCTACAAGATGGGGTCGCTCACCCATGGTACCTGAAAAGGGAATTGGACTAGAGTTGGTCTTAGCGATCTGAGAGGGTGACCGCGATGTCGAATCTTTGCATTACCAACATGGAGCAGCCACTAGATGTCAGCAATCCTTCGGAGACAACGATGATCGAACACAGAGTCGTCTAACATTCTCAACTCGGAGAGGCCAGGTTTCACAAGCATAGAGCAAAACTGCTCTCACCGACGCTTTGTAGATCCGACCTTATACAGCCAGACTGACATCACGAAGGCACCAAAGGTGGCCCAGATTGGCATAAGCCGCTCTGGCTTTCACTATTCCTGAATTGATCTCATCACCACCAGCACTTATGCAGCTACCTAGATACACGAAACTTCTCGACTACTTCTGTCTGCTCATCATACAGGGTGAGTACATGATTAGAATCCTGCCAGTCTTGTAGGAGTACTTTGCACTTCGAAGGTGCAAAGCACATACCATACCTACGGACACTGATTTTCAACTGATTAAGTGCGGATTGCATGCCTTGAGCATCATCGCACAGTAAGACATTATCATCCGCATACTCAAGGTCGAGAAGTCTTTCTCCAGGTAACAGATCCACACCACCATTACTTACATCCATCAGAACTGTTTCCAGAATGTCATCGATGGCAAAGTTGAAGAGGAATGGTGAGATTTGGCAACCCTGTCTAACCCCACTGCTTGAATGGAATAGTGGAGAAAGGTGGTTGTATGCTCACTCTGCCTGAGGTGTTTGTATATAGGGCTTTTAGGATGTTAATAAACTTCTCAGGCACACCCTTCTTCAATAGACAATCCCAGAGAACAGTTCTGTCCAACGAATCGAAGGCAGCCCTGATATCAAGAAACACTACGATTGTTGGCCTTTGATAAGTATGGCGGTGTTCTAACACTTGGCTGAGGGTGAAGATATGATCAATACATCCTCGACCAGAACGAAACTCAGCTTGTTCCTGGCGAGTCGATCTTTCTCGGGTCCTGAACAACCTACGAAATATGACGGAAGCCAATAGATTGGACGCGATCGGAAGTAGACTTATCCCCCGATAGTTATTACAGAAACGACGTAAACTCTTTTTAAAGATAAGGACAACTATCGACTCATTCCATGACGTTGGTACACTCTCTAGTTCCCAGATCTTTGTAAACAACGTCGTCAGTCCCTTAGTCAGAAAGTCACCACCATCTTTAAAAAGAGCCGGAGGTTAGTCGTCTGGGCCCGGTGATTTGTAACGTTTCAAGAGTTGGAGTTCTTTGCGGACTTCCGCCTCATTTAGTGGATCAGTCGTCACCGGCCATTCCGTCATTCTCGCAGATTGTTACGCTCAAACCAGACTTCTTGCTGCCAGTGGCTCGGATGAGTTGGAAGAGCTTCCGGTAATTACCAGATGCAGCTTCCAGCTCATTAGCACGCTCCGACCACCAGGCTTCTTGGTCGTTACGCAAGCTTTGCCCAATTTCACTATGTAACATCTTTCGTCTGTGATCAAAGTCACGGTCACCCGGAGTAGACCGACGGGCTTCAATCAGTTGTAAGGAACCAGAAGAAACCTAGTGCTTATAAGCGCGAAGCTTCGCGAACCCATAACAGACTGTACCCGCCATTTTCATGGCGTCATGCAATTGCAACCAATGCTCATCTATACTTTTCGGTGGAGTGGTAGCTAGATCCGTTCGATACTTATTAGCAACAGAAGTTGCAACCAGTTTGCTAGCATCAATCCTTTGGTGGTGGTCACTTCGTTGTCCACTGAAAAGTAAGGTAAGATTGGCGCAGACCAGGGCATGATCAGATTCCAGATAGGTACTCCAAAAAGAGCGGTAGTCTTGTACACAACCACGCCAGCGGTAGCTGATCGCGATGTGATCAATCTGAGTCCAGGCTTGAGATGCAGAGGGGGGACGTCAGGTTGCAACTGGTTGAGGTCGGTCACGCATGACCTTTTTATGAGTAATTTTTGTGTTGGCTCCGTACTTGTTGAGACCTTACCGCCGGAAACGGATATCCGTGGGATAAGAGACAATTGTAACAAAAAGATAAGTTCCAAAGAGACCCCATATATATATCCAATTTATAATTCCTATACAATTATTAAGACGAAGTGATAAAAAACTTCATTGAAAGTCAATATCATTTTAAGGGTACGTTACATATAATTCTTGTCTCACTAATGTGATGAACAAGCTGAAAGAAATACTATTTTAGACCAAAATATGCGACAAGACTGCATGAAGGGTCCATGGTTTTCTTATCCAGGTTACAGCAGAGTTCGAGGATACGAGATCTAAAGATCAGAAAGAAGTAGATTTTAGTCATCTGGTAAGGAAATCATATAAAATATTTTCAGTCTGTACCACAAAAATGTTTTCAGCTGGTTTATCAAGAACTTAGTCACAACACGTGAAAACTGCTGCTATATGATGCAAAAACAAAGAAATCTTGTCAGCCCACCGACAGTGGACAACTTTATCATAGTTACTTGCTCCATATTCCTTCGATAAAATTTGAGTTAGTCCCTAATTTTGGTATTTTGAACACAACACGACACTTTTATTCAACATTTGGCCGAATATGGGTTTTCTGCGCGTCACATTAAGTTGATTTTAAGTTTTTTTGTGAATAAAATTTCTAATGCCGTTGCAAAATAATAAGTATCAGTTTATCCATGATCATTCAAATCCCACAAGGCTATATTAAATTGTGAAATGAAAGTTGACGTGAAAACACTAAGGAAAATTCCTTTATACTAAAAATATCTTGAAATTTTTGGCGAGAAAATCCACAGTAGCCAGCACACATTGTGGTTCTTCTTTTAAGAACTATAAAACTGAAGTCAATTAAGACTAGAAACTATATAGTGTGGTTAAATTGTTTCAGATCATCACGATAATTATGTTTAGTGAACAGAATATAAACTTATAGTCTAATATTAGGTTGGATTCACTTGATATTGTTTTACTTGAATCTTCCCATTGATGTTTAGGACTGCAATTGATCAGTCTCTTATTGGCATATGGACTCAGTAGCTAAGTGGATAACTTGATGGCGTTTGAAGCGGACGGTACTGGGTTTGAGTTCCAGAGTGAACATCAACTCTGAGATGCGGGTACATCCAACCGACGAGTCCTAAATAGGACGAAACGCGCGTCCTGGATTCCACTGCTAGCCACTATCCATCTTTGCTCATAATATTAGTTTGGTTACACACTGATGCCTTCTAGTTATATTAAAGATTATTAAATCAAACATCATGGTCTACTGTAATCAGTTGATTGACGAATACAATTACTACGTATTAGGGAAGCAAACATTGGTTTCTAAACAAGCAAACAAAATCATGATATAACAGAAATATATAAATAAATTAAAAAGACAATTAAAGATTGACGAAAACGGTTAAATAAATGCCTTGTGCAGATTACCTTGTTTCATGACAAGTTACCGATGCGACCGCTTCTTTATACATTTTAAGAATATGTATACTGTGTTTGCGACTATCAGAATTCAATGCACTAGTTAAATGTTTCAAGGTGTTTGACAGTAGAATAGGGCAAACTAAAAATGGAGCATCACTGTAAAAAGAAAAAGGAATAACACACAGTGAATATATGTAATTTCATAATTGTATGAATACGATCACATTTCTAAAAATGTTCTCTTAATAAATTATTTATTTATTTTAACACATAGATATTGGTAAAAAGAGGCACCAAATATATATGCGCCACACAGATTTCATTGGATATGTGTGTGATGTAATACTGTACGGGTGCCGAAACCGAAACAGGTGGTTTTTTAGGGGGCCACATCCCGAGCCTTCGACCTAAAGGTCTGATCCACAAGGCAGTGGAGCATCGTGAGGAGATGCAGTCCAACAACAATAAGTTCATATGCCATTTGTTCCCTAGTGATATTGGAGCCCACGTGAACCATTGGTTTGGGGTCCGGTTAAAGCGCCGGATATTCGCTTTTCGTCCTCTCATCTTCGTAGACAACACCCCCGACACGAGAACGCAGTGAGTAGGACTTCCCTGGCAGAGGCTATATACACGTGGCCGTGTGAGAGCATTTCGAGGAGAGCGGACTCTCCCCACTCTCGGCCGTACCAGGGTATTTGGTAGCGCATACTTATTAGTACTTATTGAATTTCCTGTCTCATATAATCAACATGATATACACTTATGACAGAAAAAGCAATGCATTTAAAGGATGGAGATGCTTGAAAGAGAGTTCAATAACTAACCTCAGGTAAATACCATTTGAATGTGTATTGGAATATATTGAATATGCGAAATTCACCCACTAATTTAAAAGAGAAAAAAAAACAATTTGCAATAACTCCGATTTCGAATAATAATCAGATAAACCCATATGAAATAATAACTACATAGTAATAGAACATATTCGACCACTAAAAATACAGAATATTAATCAGTAAATTGCTGGCAACAAGACATGATGGCAATAAGAAACTAATTTAAAACCATAATCTCAATAGCATAATTAATTGTGATTGAACTTTCTTCATGCTAAAAGACAGAAGTCATCAGAATTACAATATTGTTAATAACTTATTGATAGAATAACTAATAAAAAAAAGAAGTGAAATAACAAAGGCGAGATGAAGAAAACGTTAAGTTTGAAACACCCCAAAGTTACACATCCATTCATTCTCTACTAGATATTTGGTTGAAATCCATCAGAAAGTATTTGGCGATAACAACAGAGTTTATTAGGCTACTTCTTTCCCATTTTGATTACACCTAATAAGGGAAGATATAAACGACTTAACGAAGATCCAGTGATTTAAAGTTACCTTAAGACTAGAGTAAGACACCAACATCATACAGACCAGTTGAAGATCTCATAAGGTTCTCGGATAAGCGAATTTAAAACATAGATTTTCCTATGATATATAGGAGAAGAACTGATATTCATTTACTCTAATCTTGAATATGAATAATCGAAATACGAGGGATATCGTTAGTAAGACTTTTTAGAGTCAGCTGCAAATGTTACAAAAAAAAATAATTTTTAATATCACAAATTTTTAGATTACTAAGCCGTTAAATTTATACTTAAGTTGAGGAAATACAGATTAATCTGATCTCTGGAAAAACATTTATTACCAAACGGAGGAGTAGGACCAGTTAATGATTGAGGTTAGTGATTATATAGAAACTAACTATCTTGTTAACATACGACATCGATCTAAAATGTTGTTTCTTGTGTAATCTTTTGAGTTTGAAAGCATTTTAAAATTAATGTTATTTTTTTTGTGTATACAAATGAGAACTTCAAGTGTCCTCTATTTAAGTCATGACATCCCCATGTCATGACTTGGTGATGACATTCCATTTCATTCATTTATTCAGAAATTCATTTCAGGTCAAAGATGTACAGTAATATCTCTTACAACGATAGTCTTATTATAAGGTAGTCAACGGAAATATAATACACAGAATCTAACCATGAGTCACGCTATTGTATATTGTTTACCTTTTAACTACTATTTTCAAATGAATAAAATGCAAGGAAATCCAATTCTAATCTGACAAATTTGCAGAGGTATATGAAAACACTTGATTGAATAAACGTGATCATTTAGAAAAGGATCGAATTTTCAAAAAAGTTCAAGTTGTTAATTGGTTCAAGAATAATAACATGAAAACGTCAAGTAAAGAAAACTGGTTAGTTATGATACAAAAACTTTGAAAAATAGAAGTTTAGGACCTACATTAGACAGAATGTTGCGTTGATATGTGATTTGTTCACAACTAGAAACGGATAAAGTTTTATACTCGGTCAGATAAATAATTTGATCGTAAGTGGCAAACTGCAAAATATGAGTTCGAAAATCCAGTGTAGGACTGTTTAGTACCATTGACTAAATAATAAAAAAAAAAGATATAATACTGTTATATCCGAGCGAAGATTATATCACGAGTAACTTCTGAGAACTATTAATGGACTAATATTATCTATATATTATTATGGTATAACTATTCAATAGTTAGATTATGTATATTTATATTCCTCTTATTAAAAGCTTCACTTTGACTTATAATTTATCATTGTATGATTTACTGTCCCTAAATTATGCTCAATTTATTATTCACTGTCTCCCAAATTCACAGACACTTTTTGGCTTATTTGTGTACACATGTTATTTTGTATTTTATTGGTACGTTGTAACTCCGCCTGGAGTCCCTTTCCGGGGGCTACTGCCGATCCTAAGCCCGGATAAAGGAGGAGGGTTGGACATGGGGTTAGCGACCCCATCCCGTAGAAAACTAACTCGCTAAAAATACGCTAACCAGAAAAAATTATTCAAACCATTTAAACTCTGACCTGGGAGTCAGAAGGTCTTCGTTTAGAAGAATTATGACGCCTCATGATAAAAGCCGAGTTTCTTCGGAAGTCACGAGGCCGATGCCCCTTCTGACAACCAGAGCAACCATTTACTTAGGTACATGGAATGCTCACACAATGTGGGAGACTGGGAGAGTTTTCCAAATTGCTGCAGAAATGAGGAGATACAATTTAGAGGTGCTTGGGATCAGTGAAACACATCGGACGCAAGTTGAACAACAACGACCAGCTTCAGGGGAGCTGCTGTTATACTCCGTACATGAACAAGAAAATGCTCCACATACACAAGGAGTTGCATTGATGCTGTCCAAACAAGCACAAAATGCACTTATAGGATGGGAATCTCATGGACCAAGGATTTTCAAATCCTCCTTCAAAACAAAGAAAACGGACATTACAATGAACGTCATCCGATGCTACGCGCTTACCAACGACTACAATGAAGACGCTAAAGATCAATTCTACGATAGGCTGAAGTCAATCGTCGAGAAGTGCCCAACAAAAGACCTGACCATTCTGATGGGAGACCTAAATGCCAAGGTTGGAATGGACAACACCCGATATGAAGAGATCATGGGACGACACGGACTGGGAGAAATGAACGAAAATGGTGAGAGATTTGCAAATCTATGTGCCTTCAATAAACTGGTCATAGGCGGGACTATATTCCCACATAAACGCATACACAAAACCACATGGACTTCACCGGATCACACCACAAAGAACCAAATCGACCATATCTGCATCAACAAAAAGTTCAGGAGGACGATGGAGGACGTGAGAACAAAGAGAGGAGCTGATATAGCATCAGATCATCACTTGCTGGTCGCCAAGATGAAATTGAAACTCAAGAGGCACTGGACAACGGGGCGGACAATATCACAAAAATTTAATACGGCTCTTCTTCGGGATAATGACAAACTCAATAAATTCAAGATAACCCTCAGCAATAAGTTCCAGGCCTTTCATGATCTACTCAATGGAGAAGAAACTACTATGGAGAGCAACTGGAAAGAGATAAAAGAGGTAATCGCCTCAACATGTCATGAGGTTCTGGGCCAAAAGAAGCACCATCACAAGGATTGGATCACGGTCGATACACTAGATAAGATTCAAGAAAGGAGGAACAAGAAGGCAGCAATCAATACCAGTCGAACAAGAGCAGAAAAAGTCAACGCACAAGCTGAATACACAGTAGTAAACAAGCAAGTGAAGAGGATCATCAGAACTGACAAACGTAAATATGTGGAAGATTTAGCAATGACGGCGGAAAAGGCAGCAACAGAAAGATAACATGAGACAACTGTATGACACAACAAAGAAACTCTCTAGAAATCACCGTACAGCAGAACGACCAGTGAAAAGCAAGGAAGGCAAGATAATCACCAACATTGAAGAACAACGAAACAGGTGGGTAGAACACTTCAAAGAACTCTTGAATCGACCAGCCCCACTGAACCCACCCAACATCGAAGCAGCACTCACGGACCTCTCAATTGATGTTGGCGCACCAACAATTGAAGAGATCAGCATGGCTAACAGACAAATCAAGAGTGGCAAAGCAGCAGGACTAGACAGCATTCCAGCAGAGGCACTGAAAGCAGACGTAGCGGCAACTGCAAGAATACTCCACATTCTCTTCAGAAAGATCTGGGATGAGGAACAGGTACCAAAAGACTGGAAAGAAGGACTTCTAGTCAAAATACCAAAGAAAGGCGATCTCAGCAACTGTGACAACTACAGGGGAATCACTCTTCTCTCAATACCAGGAAAAGTCTTCAACAAGGTATTGTTAAACAGGATGAAGGACTCCGTAGACACACAACTTCGAGACCAACAGGCAGGATTCCGTAAGGATAGATCGTGCACAGACCAAATCGCAACTCTACAGATCATTGTGGAACAATCAATTGAATGGAATTCATCACTCTATATCAACTTCATCGACTACGAAAAAGCATTTGATAGCGTGGACAGAACAACCCTATGGAAGCTTCTTCGACACTACGGCGTGCCTCAGAAGATAGTCAATATCATACAGAATTCCTATGATGGATTAAACTGCAAAATCGTTCATGGAGGACAGTTGACAAAGTCGTTCGAAGTAAAGACCGGTGTCAGGCAAGGTTGTTTACTCTCACCCTTTCTCTTTCTCCTGGTGATCGACTGGATCATGAAGACATCAACATCTGAAGGGAAGCACGGGATACAGTGGACAGCTAGGATGCAATTGGATGTTCTAGACTTTACAGATGATCTGGCTCTTCTATAGCATACACAACAACAAATGCAGGAGAAGACAACCAGTGTAGCTGCAGCCTCAGCAGCAATAGGTCTCAATATACACAAAGGGAAAAGCAAGATTCTTCGATACAACACAGCATGCACCAATCCAATCACAATTGACGGAGAAGCTTTGGAAGATGTAAAAACCTTTACATATTTGGGCAGTATCATCGATGAACACGGTGGATCTGATGCAGATGTGAAGGCACGGATTGGCAAAGCAAGAGCAGCATATCTACAACTGAAGAATATCTGGAACTCAAAACAATTAGCAACCAACACCAAAGTCAGAATTTTCAATACAAATGTCAAGACAGTTCTACTGTATGGGGCGGAAACCTGGAAAACTACGAAATCCATCGTCCAAAACATACAGGTGTTTATTAACAGTCGTCTACGCAAAATACTTCGGATCCGTTGGCCGGACACTATTAGCAACAACCTACTGTGGGAGAGAACAAATCAGATCCCAGTGGAGGAAGAAATCAGGAAGAAGCGCTGGAAGTGGATAGGACACACATTGAGGAAAGCACCGAACTGCGTCACAAGACAAGCCCTCATATGGAATCCTCAAGGTCGAAGGAAGAGAGGAAGATCAAAGAATACATTACGCCGAGAAATGGAGATAGACATGAGAAAAATGAACAAGAATTGGATGGAACTTGAAAAGAAGGCCCAGGACAGAGTGGGTTGGAGAATGCTGGTCGGCGGCCTATGCTCCATTGAGAGTAACAGGCGTAAGTAAGTAATTAAGAGTATGTTTGAAATAAATGATTCGGTACGATTCGATTCGATTCATATTACGGAAGCTCGTATTGTGTTCTGGACTCAAGTGGACGGGTTAGAAGGATATAGGACCCAATAAGGACGCTAGACTGCTCAGACCGGTTGAACGTCATTGGTCTTGTCATAGTGCGAATATTTGTATAAGCCGTATTCTGATTGGTGGATAAGTCACGTGATTGAAAGTCGGACATTAAATCATAACAAATACGATTACAAAAAAGGATGTCTAAGAGAAACAAAGAAGAAAAAATACATTACTAAAAGCTTACAGCAATAGCTCCTGGACCAAGGTGTTTATAATGTATTTTGACAATATCTTTTATTATACGACATAGATAAGGATCACTTCTCCAATTTAATTGAGCAATACCACGTGTAAACTGTAAATCAGAGATTAGAAAAAATTGATATAAAACGAAATATTCATTGACTCAATAAAACTATATACTTATATACTGATACAGTTGAAATAAAACTGAAGTGATTTTGTAGAGATTGTAGTAATTTCAATGATTAAGATCATTCATTCATTCATTTTCATTTTAACACATAAGTATAGGTATCAAGTACATATGCGCCACACGAATCTCAATTGATTTGTGTGAGGGCTGTGATACTGCTCGGGTGCCCAAACCGAAACAGGTGTTTTCTTAGGGGGCCACACCCCGAGCCTTCGACCTGAACGTCTGACCCACAAGGCAGTGGAGCTCTGTGAGGACATGCAGTCCCATGGTAGCCGGTGACCAACGATTGGTTCATACGCCATTTGTTCTCTCAAGATACTGGCGCCCATGTGCACCATTGGTTTGGGGTCCGGTTATAGCGCCGGACATTCGCTTTTCGTCCTCTCATTTTCGTAAACAACACCCCCGCAACGAGAAGGCAGTGAGTAGGACTTCCCTGGCAGAGACTATATACGCATGGCCATGTGAGAGCATTTCGAGAGGGAGAGCGGACTCTCCCCACTCTCGGCCGTACCAGGGCATTTGGGGGCGATTAAGATCATGAGTTAGTTGAAGCTAGACCACCATGGAAAACCTGGAAGCACTGGACGGCCGTTTCGTAAAACTGAAGTAACATGAAGAAAAAAAAGGCTAGGAATATTTGATGATATAAAAATGAAGTTATTGAAATTGATATTTAGAAGTATGTAAGTAGTTTATTTATAATTACTTCAGGTAACTGCTCTTGCATAGACTCCATAACATAACACGGAAATATATCGGATTCGTTGAGAGTAGAAAATCTGTTAGAATCTTGCATTTCGTATAACTGTCGTGGAAGAAAAAAATGATTCACCAATTTCTCAAAACTTGATACTGAGCTTTCAGTAGTGACTGGAGAATAAAGTAACATTGAACAGTGACGAATTAACATTCCTGCCACTCGATAACCGCTTCCACATAAATCCTCCGGTTTTAAGAAATTGTTTTGTGTTGTGTGACTCAAACCAAAACCACTTTCCTGTGCAGAACTGGATACAGAGCAACATGTACAAATAAACTCACTTAATCGACCAATATATTCAACAAAAACAGATTTGAATAACATTCGAGCTTGAAATGTCTACATATAATCAAATGAAAAGGTTAACAAACAAATACATGTCAGATGGCGCATGAAATATTAAACAAAACACTAGTGTATCAAAAGTGCATGCAATATTGGAGTCCCAAAAATATACCTCGTCAAAGTCCCTAGAAGCCCGGAAACGTTTAATCCAGTCAGCGTTGAACAGAATCTTCGCAGAAACATCTAGAAAATGCAGAATCATGGGCTACGGTTTTGATTGGATATTAACCTAAACTACAAAAACAACAGCAACTATATTTAATACGGTTCCAGAAACCCGGCCCAAGGTCGCGTGAATTTCTACAAATGTCCTCGTTTTTCTGTATATGAAACAACCTTGGGGTAAAGCTTTCACTCGTGATTCACACCTCTCTAGTGTTCCAGTTGATGGGTAGAAGTATTTGGAGATATTGGGACTGGTTAAGGAGACAGCATAAGCGTATCGGTAGAGAGACTTATCATTTTTAAACCATCTTTATCAGTATTTATACACATAATTTCACTATGCCTAACCAAATTGTTACAATAGATGGTGACGTGCTAAAACTAACATACAAGTGAATGGCAAATAATTTCAATCTTTGAATCACGGAAATCGTTATCTAAAATTAAGAATGAGACAGAAACATGCACTTTCACTTACTCATAAAAGAGTATATAAGGAACCAAGTTAGCAATATGCTATACAAGATTAGCATCTTTCAAGGGTCTGTAGTAAAATGACGATGAATGTTTAACTGAAACTTTAAGTACTGTGAGGGTGGAAAAATAAAAGTATTCTTATCTTCGATGACTAAATAAACAAATTTTGTTCCAGCGGAAGACATTAATTCCGTGATACTAATGAAGACATTCATTTCAATGAACAATAAAATTTGTAGTATTATTATAATATGATTTTAACCTAATGATGTTAATTGCCGAGAAACAAAGATTACACAATGCTTATCACCAGTCTTTGTAGCGGAAACAACTAAGAGATTTGGGTTGTGTCAACAAGACTTCAAGAAAGTAGTTTCCAGAAATATATGCTGAATATGGAGTTTGGCCGTTCAAAAAACAGACGGACAAACATTTATTTATTTAAATACATAAACATTGGTACAAGGAGGAACGAAAAGGATATGAGCCATATAAATCATTCCATTTTTGTGAGGGCTTGGATAATGCCCGGGTGTCCAAATCGAAGCAGGTGGTTTTCTTAGGTGGCCACACCCCTAACCTTCAACTTAAAGGTCTAATCCACAAGGCAGCGGCGCAACGTGAGGAGATGAAGTCCCATGGCAGCCGGTGACCAACAATTGGTTAATACGTCATTCGTTTCCTAAGGATCCTGGAGCCCATGTACACTATTAGTTTGGAATCAGGGTTTTCCAACTCCCCTAGGTGAATTCTCCGTATCCACTAACCCGGTTAAAGCGTCAATTTCGTAAACAACACTCCCACTACGAGAAGGTAGTGAGTAGGTCTTCCCTGGCAGTGATTGTATGCACGTGGCCACTTGAGAACATTTGGAGAGGGAGAGCTGACTTTCCCCACTCGCTCGTACCAGGGCATTTCAGGACTGACAAAAATGTATTAGTCTGTTCACGAAAGAATTTTAATGTTGATTTTCGTAACTCTTCGCGACCCTTAATATTGGGTGAGGGAGGTTAATGCATATTACTGAAGATTTAAAAATGAAGTCTTGTTATTTTTCCCTCTATGAACTGAAAGTCTGAACTAAGTAATAGTGTGCTACCATACATTGAATTCGGTATTTCGACCATATGATTTATGGGATACATCTAAATAATACAATGATTCAGACCGCCAGTTAAATTTCAATTATGACAAAACAGCCAAAATGTAGTTGAATTAATGGTAATTTCAGTTACTTAAAATTCTTAAGATTTTAAGTCATGGACTTTCCTAAACGTGTAAACTACTAAATTAAAAAGTTAGAAGTCAGGATAAAGGTAAATAACTTACAGAGAGTTTATCGAAATAAGCAGCTATATTAATGAAAATGGTTTCAGGATCTAAATTGGAGATTGTTGAAATGGTTATTTGTTTTGGTAGATAAGCTCGAATTTCACTTATAAAAGACGGAAAGACGAAATCATCATGACTTTCTGTCGAAAACGAATTAACAGTTCTAACAAACAAACAATACGTTAATAAAGCGACGAAAAATAACCAAGCAACTGTAGAAGTTTCCTTTTTACTTGAGTTAAGAATAGTAATCAATTCTTTAATTGTACTAGATGTGCCATAAAATGCTTCCATAATACTAAAATGAAACCTGTATTATTAAAAAAGTGAGGAAGAAAAATAACATCTAAAGAGAAAAAATATTAACATATAGAAATTAAGAAACTAAAAACAACAACAACAACGATGGATATTGGCTAGCAGTGGAATTCAGGACGCGCGTTTCATCCATTTTGGGATTCATCAGCTGGATGTACGTGCATCTCAGAGTTGATGTTCACTCTGGGACTCATCAATCGCAATACTAAACCTCAATGGGAAGATACAAGCCAAACAATACCAAGTGAACAACAACAACAACAACAACAACAACAGCAACGGTTTGTCAGGAAACTGGGGAATGAAATTATTCACACAACTAGGAATACCTTAAAAAATTTCATAATTGTCAGTCATAAAGTGTTAACAACTATTACATGCGTGAAAAGTATTGAGTTTCTTTCAGTTTACTATTAATTATATTGGTTATTTATTATTTATTTTATTTTAACACATAAATATCGGTACAAGAAGGCACCAAATACATATGCGCCAAACAAATCTCATTTGATATGTGTGAGGGCTGTGATACTGCCCGGGTGCCCAAACCGAAGCAGGTGGTTTTCTTAGGGGGCCACACCCCGAGCCTTCGACCTGAAGATCTGATCCACAAGGCAGTGGAGCATCGTGAGGAGATGCAGTCCCATGGTAGCCGGTGACCAACGATTGGTCCATACGCCATTTGTTCCCGCAGGATACTGGAGCCAGCCCATGTGCACCATTGGTTTGGGATCCGGTTATAGCGCCGGACATTCGCTTTTCGTCCTCTCATTTTTGTAAACAACACCCCCGCCACGAGAAGGCAGTGAGTAGAACTTCCCTGGCAGGGGCTGTATACGCGTGGCCATATAATTATATTGGTACATAAGTAAAATACAATAAGCATGTGGGTTAGAAAACTTACGAAAAATCTATAGACGGATTCATTGTGAACAAATCAAATAGGTCAGCAGGATCAAGAAGATAGAGGGTCAATTTACTAGAAGAAAGGAAATTTATTGAAAACTAATTAATAAACAGTTCTTGGTGAGCAAAACAAAAAAAAATATCATATACACAAGCCTATTTCTTATGTAAACTTTGTCCATTTTTCCATGGATTAAGTTAAATCACTAGATGTTTATTATTTCACAGACACCTTATTCTATTAACAGTAGGAATATAATGGTATTGCATGAAAACATATTTGGAGAAAGGAATGGAAGAGTAACTTATGTTTTCCCTTATAGAGTACACTTAAATTTCAGATACATTATCTCCGAATAGTTAATCATAAACCTTTTCCTTCGTGCATATAGTTATGACTTTGAATAGATTTTGAAGAAAATTTTGAGAAACGTATTACATGGATATGGTATGTCTATAACCAAAAATAACATGACATTGATATGTTCAGATCTATTATGATTTTGATTGTACTCAAAGTAGTCTGCATTGTTTCCTTTGTACTATTTGAACATGTGTCAATACTATGTCGGTTTCTCATTTACTTATTCTGAAGAAGTGACACTAATTAAGTCATGAAACGTCAGAAATATGAGTTTCTACTCATTTGGATATTCAAAAATATATTTATTATATCTAGATCTGTTTTAACAGTAAACTAGGATGTTAACATAATCGAATAATGCTTTAAGAAATTCATGTTTACAATTGGTTTTTACGAATCCAATTCAAATGCAGCATAAACTACAGAAATTTCCAGGATCTAAAGAACTTTTTCTGTTTTTACCCCATTCCGTAATGGATTTTCAAGTATACACAGATGAAAAATATTGTACTTAGCCTAGTCAGTCAGCTGCAACGTAGGACCAGGCACATATATGCATCGGTTCAAGTTGTCATAGCTTATCAGCACAGCAAGATGAACACCGAATTCATAGTAGTCACATTAAAGATATAAGGAAGAAATAATTAGTTCGTAGAAAGAAAGATATGAAGCGATTTTAATCTCTTAGTTTAAAGGAAGACAAAGAGTGTATACACCTACACCATTGTGATCGATTTTGTGCCATGTCACTAAGAGTCTCCAACCATTGATTGCGATAGTCAGGCGGACCCCAACCAGGTAGTCTGCATCTACCAACATGGCTCAGACTAGAAGTTAGTGACTTAAAGCACTGATGTCACGTTTTAGTTTGGACACCCCTAACTTTCTTTCAATTATCCCCAACACTGGTTAGGATTGCACGTGGTAATCGAGGTTCAGGCATACGCAACACGTGGTCCAACCATCTCAGTCGATGAAGATTCACAACCTTATTGACTGATTTACCATCACTCACTAATATCCTGCGTCTAACCTCACTATTACTTACCCGGCGATCTCAGCAGATACCCGCAATATTTCTAAGATATCTGTGGTCAAATACTAGTAATTACGAGTATCTTCTACTCTTAATGGCCATGTTTCGCAGCCGTATAGTAGGACGGAACAAACTGCTGCTCAGTATACTCGTCCCTTAATTGATAGACGAATATCTCGCCTTCGCCATAGGTGACGTAAGTTGGCAAAGGCCAAGCGAGCTTTTCGAATCCGTGCTGAGATTTTGCCAGACACCAACCCATTATGGCTGATCAGACTTCTAAAATAAGTGAAGTTGTTGACACCTCTGACTAAATCAGTCCCTATCCTTAGTTCAGGTGTTGACGCAGACCACCTTACTGCTGTTACACCTCTGTACAGTCACTAGTACGACTTCGCCTTCGGACCTTAGATTTGTTGCTTTTAGTCTTACTGCTCTTCAACCGACCTGTCTGGCATGGTAGGATCTTGAGGAACATTAGAAGCACAAATCTAATAATGCTAACAAAGAATAAATTAAAACATTAAATTTTTCTTTAGAAAGTTAAAATTATAAAAACTAGGTTATAAATAGTTTCTTACTGTTCGCTCCTGTACGAAAAGCAAATATTGGATAAACGAATAAAATATAATGCAATTTTGGATAGGATCGATAATAGATTCACGGGTATAGGAGTACATTTGGTATTCTGCCTAGAAATAGCCTTTTTAAACGCAGGGTAAACAGAACTCCAAAAGAAACCTGGAGATAGAAAACAAAAAAATCATCCAATCTAGTTACAGAATGTGTTTTAATCAATGATGAAATACGGTATTTGTATATCGAATGCTTTAGAAACAATTAAGCCCTTTGTTCGGACAGTACAGTCATATATGTCTACGGTCTTTACCAGTGTTGATCTATTTATAGCTACAATACATTTTAAACAGATCTAAGATTTCTATATCGGTAAATACAGTCAATAACAATATAGGCTGTTGAGGAAACTTATATGAATGTAGAATAACCACATTTTTCATTGGACGCATATTTCCTAGTAAATGAAACTAAGAAATTATTACATACAAGCATACATCTGACAGATGAAAAGTTAACTACTTCAGAATACTACATTTAAACAAGTTATTAAAAAAGTAGAATGCCACTGAATTTTTAAAAAGGGTTTAAACAAACGCAGAACTTATTCTCATTTACTGGGTACATGTTAGTGATAGAATTCAAGTTACACTCTAAGTAAGACGGCAAGAAATATTATCTGGTTTTCTGAATTGTGATAGGTGGAGCGCTGCACGAACCTGAGAAATGGTGACTGGTGGTATAACACCTTAACTACTGCACCACCACTCTACACAAAAGGGGTAACTGTAGTCAAGTTCGGCTACTTGGTTCTGTTATATTTTTATTTACAATTTGAATTTGCAGACTTTTCCTAAATTCTATCACAGCAATAATAGTTAGTATTTGAGGCGCATTTCGCCCAGTTTTAAATTGCTCTTTCTGAACGCCACATACTTTGACTGAATTGGTGGATACGGAGGATCCACCTATAGGATTTGGAAAACCCTGGTCCTAAAAATATGATGAACAATGGCTCCTGAGCGTTAAAGGAACGAGTGGAGTATGAACCGATATTGGTCACCGACTATAATGAGACCGAATTTCTCGATTATTATTTATTTATTTGAACACATAAATATTGGTACAGGGGGGCACCAAATATATATGCGCCACACAAAACAATGATAATTTGAAGAGAAGGAGAAAAGAGAAAACAAAAAAAAAGTAATGAACGTGGGGAATTATAAAAAAAAAGGGAGAGAGAGAGAACAATGTGGGGGAAACGGAAAGGTACAATCAGAACAGATCTTTCAGTTAAGGAAGATACAAATACTTTTTATGAAGAAAGTAAAAGAAGGTTACAGCAGGATCGCCACTGGCTTCTATTCTGAGCCATATCTGATAACGTCTCTAGCCACTGCATTACACCGTCTCTCGGACCCCAACCAGGGAGTCGTGAAGGACCAACAGAAGCTAGCCCTTTGCAGCTTTCTTTCATACCACGACACCATGTCATATACTGACCACCTCTCCGCTTTTTCCAACCAGTCCCAGAGTCGGCAAATAATGCACCACGTGGAATTCTCTGGGACGACATTCGTGGAACATGTCCAAGCCACCGAAGTCGGTGTTTCAAGATGGTGACACCAATTTCATTATCGTCTCTGTGACCGAACACTCGATGCCGAACCTCTGCATTACTGACATGGTGTTGCCGCTGGATGCCAGCAATCCTTCGGAGACAACGATGATCGAACACAGAGAGTCGTCTAACATCCTCAACTCGGAGAGGCCAGGTTTCACAAGCATAGAGCAAAACTGCTCTCACCCACGCGTTGTAGATCCGACATTTTACAGCCAGACTAACATCACGAAGGCGCCAAAGATGGCCCAGATTGGCATAAGCCGCTCTGGCTTTCACTATACGTGCATTGATCTCATCACTCACACCACCATCAGCACTTATGCAGCTACCTAGATACACGAACTTCTCGACTACTTCAATCTGCTCACCATCCAGAGTGAGTACAGGATTAGAATCCTGCCAGTCTTGTAGAAGTACTTTGCACTTCGAAGGTGCAAAGCACATACCATACCTACGGACATTGATTGCCAACTGATTAAGTGCGGATTGCATAGCTTGGGCATTCTCGCACAGTAAGACAATATCATCCGCATACTCAAGGTCGAGAAGTCTTTCTCCAGGCAACAGATCCACACCACCATTACTTACATCCATCAGAGCTGTTTCCAGAATGTCATCGATGGCAAAGTTGAAGAGGAATGGTGAGATTGGGCAACCCTGCCTAACCCCACTGCTCGAATGGAATAGTGGAGAAAGGTGATTGTATGCCCTCACTCTGCCTGAGGTGTTTGTGTATAGGGCTTTTAGGATGTTAATAAACTTCTCAGGCACACCCTTCTTCAATAGACAATCCCAGAGAACAGTTCTGTCCAACGAATCGAAGGCAGCCCTTATGTCAAGAAACACTACGATTGTTGGCCTTTGATAAGTATGGCGGTGTTCTAACACTTGGCTGAGGGTGAAGATATGATCAATACATCCTCGACCAGAACGAAACCCAGCCTGCTTCTCGCGAGTCAATCCTTCTCGGGTTCTGAACAACCTACGAAGTATGACGGAAGCCAATAGCTTGGACGCAATCGGAAGTAGACTTATCCCCCGATAGTTGTTACAGGAACAACGTGAACCCTTTTTAAAGATAGGGACAACTATCGACTCATTCCATGACGTTGGTACACTCTCTAGTTCCCAGATCTTTGTAAACAACGTCGTCAGTTCCTTAGTCAAAAAGTCACCACCATCTTTAAAAAGAGCCGGAGGTAAGTCGTCTGGGCCCGGTGATTTGTAACGTTTCAAGAGTTGGAGTTCCTTGCAGACTTCCGCCTCATTTGGTGGATCATTCGTCACCGGCCATGGAGGGCAGGACAGTCTGACCGATGTTGCCGGAGCAGCAGGCCAGTTGAACTGCCCTTCAAAGAATTCTGCCCATCGTCCAAGAATTCGATGGATGTTAGTGATAGGCATTCCGTCATTCTCGCAGATTGTTTCGCTCACACCAGACTTCTTGCTGCCAGTGGCTCGGATGAGTTGGAAGAGCTTCCGGTAATTACCAGATGCAGCTGCTGCTTCCAACTCACTGGCACGCTCCGACCACCAGGCTTCTCGGTCCTTACGCAAGCTTTGCCCGATTTCATTACGTAACATCCTTCGTCTGTGGTCAAACTCACGGTCACCCGGAGTAGACCGACGGGCTTCAATCAGTTGTAAGGAACCAGAAGAAACCCAGTGCTTGTAAGCGGGACGTTTCGCAAACCCACAACTGACTGTACCCGCCATTTTCATGGCGTCATGCAATTGCAGCCAATGCTCATCTATACTTTTCGGTGGAATGGTAGCTAGCCTAGAAGCTAGCTCGGTTCGGTACTTACTAGCAACAGAAGTTGCAGCCAGCTTGCTAACATCAATCCTTTGGTGGTGGTTACTTCGTTGTCCACTGAAAAGTAAGGTAAGATTGGCGCAGACCAGAGCATGATCAGATTCCAGATAGGTACTCCAAAAGGAGCGGCAGTCTTGTACACAACCGCGCCAGCGGTAGCTGATCGCGATGTGATCAATCTGAGTCCAGGCTTCAGATGCAGAAGGGGGACGCCAAGTGGCACATCGGCGATGACTGTGCCGAAAGTTAGTGCTAGCCAGAAACAGGTTGTGGTCTGTGCATATTTGCAGTAGACGTTCCCCGTTATCTGTCCTGCGACCAACGAGTCCCCATCGGCCACCTAAACGACTCTCTTCTGTGCCTAGACGCCCGACCTGAGCATTCAAGTCTCCAGCTAGTACTACAATATCTGTTGAACGCACTTTCTGGAGAAGAACAGTTAACTGGTGGTAGAACTCATCCTTGATTGCATCCGGGCTGCAATCTGTCGGGGCATAGGCGGAGATGACGAAAAGACATCGTTTCTCACGCCGATTTCTTCTCACTTTGATGGAACTTTCTAATCTAACAGCACATAACCGACTGTTAATGGGGATCCAGTCGACTAGTGCTGCCTCAGCTCTTGCGCTTAGTGCGACACCAACGCCAGCAAGACCAGACAAAGATGCCACAGGGTCCCCGGATAAACGCACATAAAACAAGCTTTTTGAAGTGACAGACGGAAAGCGAACTTGTAGTACTTCACCAGAGTCTTGAATACGGGTCTCGGATAGACAACACACATCAATATTAAGACTTTCCAAAGACGTAGCCAGCCCTATCTGTTGTCCGACCTGCATAAGTGTGCGAACGTTAAAGGTAGCCAGTTTGAATGGTGCACGCGGTTTCAGAAAAACTGCTTCAGTACTCATGTTCGGTAGTAACATACAATTTTCAACCAGGCAGTGACTCGGGAACGTTTAAATAAAGCTGAATTTTCACCATAGGCGAGCTGCTGTCTGAGTCGAAACGGATACATAAAGTAAGTATAAGAGAGGGTGAATAAATGACGTGGTAGAGTAATAATAATAATAATAATAATAATAATAATAATGATAATAATAATATTAATAATAATAATAATAATAATAATAATAATAATAATAATAATAATAATAGTACGAGTCATTTCAATGTTAATCAGAGAGAAAGGAATATTTTCCATAAGCAAATAGTTCATCATGATTTTAGTGCGTGGGCTGAGATACTGCCCGGGTGCCCAGACCGAAGCAGGTGGTTTTCTTAGGGGGCCACACCCCGAGCCTTTGACCTAAAGGTCTAGTCCACAAGGCAGTGGAGCATCGTGAGGAGATGCAGTCCCATGGAAGCCGGTGACCAAAAGTTGGTTCATACGCCATTTGTTCCTTCAGGATACTGGAGTCCATGTGCACCATAGAATTGGGATCCGGTTATAGCGCCGGACGTTCGCTTTTCGTCCTCTCATTTTCGTAAACAACACCCCCGCCACGAGAAGGCAGTGAGTAGGACTTCCCTGGCAGAGGCTGTATACGCGTGGCCGTATGAGAGTATTTCGAGAGGGAGGGCGAACCCTCCCCGCTCTCGGCCATACCAGGGCATTTGGGGGTGAATTTCTCGATAGTGCTCTACTGTCTTTTAGGTTTTGGCCTTTGATTAAAAGCTTGACGAATGACTCCCTAAGACAACCACTTGCTTAGATGAGAGTATCTGGGGTATAACTCAGGCCACACAGAGACTTTAATATCTGGTCATATTCATTTACATTTTATATTGCATCAGCTATTGGTTCCTCTTGATTGTGTATTTTGTATATTTGTATTTTTTTTAACTTACAGTCTTGTTCTGTTTAATCGTTCTCGACTCACTAAGTGGTTGGATTGGATGGAATATCTTCGGATCTTTCTGAGCTTCTTACAGCTTCCTCGAGCTCACCCATGAACCGTCCTGACAGTTAGACTATAAAACTCAAGTAAAGTGAGTAGTCGTTATGGGGAACGATGTTTTTTCGTTATCTCCGCCTGAGACGCTGTTCTAGGAGTGCCTGAGTAGACTTCGATCATGGTTTGTTCTGCACAAGCTTATAATGTATTTTGGTGGCTAGCAAACGTCTTATCCTGAACGGATTAATATCAGCATGGTGATAGTGGCTTCTGTCACAATCAAATATAAATCAGAGTTAGGTTTAATGCTAATTGCCATTTCTCTGGAATATGCAGATGAGCATTGGATTCGTTTACTTGATGTCATGCGAAAATCAGGTTGCGTCTCTTGTGACTTCTTGTAACGCCCCGCTTATAAGAACCGGGTATCCACATGTTTGTTATAAATTCCTCAGCCACGTTTACCTAATCTGACAAATCATAACTTTGATGATGAACGTAGATACCTGCGTAAAGAAACCTTACGAAATCCGCGCACGAGCCGAAAAACTTGATGGTTAGAGTATACGATCAAGTTGGAAATAGCCATATGTGGTAAATGCTGAAAGCTATTTTAACTCACCTGAGTTACTGGTAGAAAGAAATGTGAAATGAATGAAACAACCTGTGTTTGATGGAACGCAAAATTAGTAGCATCCAAGACATATTGGACGACGGGAAGATCTTTTGGAAGAGCAGATCGACTGGCCTATTGCTGCAACAACATCGATCAGTGTTACTTAACCTATACAGCCGGCGACGACTGAAACAACTACCTGAAGAGTTCGAAGCCCGCAAAGAACTCCAACTTCCCCTCAACTGTTCCATTGAAGCAGTAAGGTTATGTAGGGTTGCCCAATCTCACCATTTCTCTTCCAATTACCAATTGATGAAATTCTGGAAACACTCCTGATAGTAGGTAGTGGTAGTGTGGACCAGTTAACTTCTAAACTGTGCAATGATACTCACAGTATACAAATCGCACTTAATCAGTTGGGAATGATATGTACTCTGAACACACCTTTAAGTGCAAAGTACTCCTACAAGATAGACAGGAGCCTATGTCTGAGCTTACTCTTAGGAGTGAGATGATAGATGTAGCTGAAAAACTCGTGTATTTCAGTAGTTGTGTGATTGACGGTGGAGGGGTAAATGATGAGATTAGTTTACATAGATTGAAAGCCAGTGTGGCTTATGCCAATCTGGGTCATCTTGAGCGCCGTTGTGATGTTAATCTGGTTGCAACACATCAGTGAGAGCAGTTTTATTCAATGCTTGTGAAACCTAGTCTATAAGGGTTGATGATGCTAGGCGACTCTGTGTTTGAATATTTTTGATTCCAAAGAATTACTGAAATTCAGTGGCAACACCGTATTCGTAATGTGGAGGTTCGTAAATGTATGTTCGGGCATAATGACGATAATTCATTTAATGTCACCATCTTGAAATACCGAATTCGGAGGCTTAAACATGTCTACGAGTGTCACCCAAACAAACCTCATATCGTGTATTATATGCCGACGATCGGACTGGTTGTAAAAAGCGGAGTGGTGGTCAGCATATGAAGTTCGACCAGGTTATAAATTGAAACCGTATAGGACAGGCATCTGTAGATCAATGACGACTACATAGTTTGGGTTCGAGAGATAATGCAACTCAGTAACTCGAGGTTATCAGACATAGCTTAGAACAGAAACCAATGACGACAAAATGTAATTTTATTTCACACATGTTATAAAATTCAAAGGAACTTCTTTAACAGAAGGGTTTTTTATGCTTGTATTTTTTTAACTGAAAGGCTCCTCCCATCAAACAGTACTGTTGTTCACTTATTTTTATTCATTTGTCTCTCTATCTTTTCACAATCTTACTTTTTATTGCGTAGCGCATATTTATTTTCTTTCCTATATGTATTAGTGTTTACGTTTGAACAAAACAAGTCTTGGAGACAGAAAGTTATAAACCGAGTTGAAAACTTTCAAAGATTACGCAATAATTTAAAAAGGTCGAAATGATTTCGGATAACTTAAACATTTGATTTTAGTTTGATCTATATAGTTGATATTCTTCAAAAGACAGTAATTGCATATAAGAACTTTTGTTAGCATCTCATTGTGATTTAAAAGTGTACTAGTCATAATTTTTCTGTTTGATGAAAAAGTGACAGTTTTACTGACTCAATCAGTAATGGAAATTATTGGATAAAATATTTACTTACATTTATCATAGAGAACAATATACATGACTTCTAAATAAAGGTGATGAATTTATAGTTCAATACCCAGTTGACAAAAAAATACAGAATAAAAATCTTATACTTAATAGAAGTAAATAATAATCGGTAAAAAAAATTTGTCTAAAGGGTTCTAATATTATTATTATTATTATTTTAACACATAGATATCGGTACAAGAAGGCACCAAATACATATGCGCCACACAGATCTCATTTGATAAGTGTGAGGGCTGTGATACTGTCCGGGTGCCAAAACCGAAGCAGGTGGTTTTCTTAGGGGGCCACACCCCGAGCCTTCGACCTGAACGTCTGACCCGCAAGGCAGTGGAGCATCGTGAGGAGATGCAGTCCCATGGTAGCCGGTGACCAACGATTGGTTCATACGCCATTTGTTCCTTCAGGATACTGGAGCCCATGTGCACCGTTGATTTGGGATCCGGTTATAGCGCCGGACATTCGCTTTTCGTCCTCTCACTTTCGTAAACAACACCCCCGCCACGAGAAGGCAGTGAGTAGGACTTCCCTGGCAGGGGCTGTATACGCGTGGCCATGTGAGAGCATTTCGAGAGGAGGAGCGGACTCTCCCCACTCTCGGCCATACCAGGGCATATATGTAGACATCTCAAATTATAAATAAACTTCCTGTATTATATGCAAAACTTCAAGTTGGTATTACAATTATATGATGAAAAAAGTGACACTTGGATTAAAACTGTCTACATCATTCGGAGAGTTGTGTAATTGTAATGAAACAATAAATAAGGAAAAGAAAAGACTTACTAAACAATTCTAAGTTTGATTCAGAGTATCCTAATGAACTATGAGAAAAAAGAAAAAGGATTAAAGTAATGCTGATAGCTGAGTAGACAAAACAAAACCAAGAAATCAATTCATAATGCTTTTATACGAGGTCACTACGAATTTAAAAAAATTACGATGTTTTTATCATAGCATTAAACGTTGAAGTCTGGAAAATGAAGAGAATATTTAAAACTAAAACAACAGTCACTGTTCTAGATGTTTCCAACCGCTGGTACTACCTTGACGTAGTGGTTGGGTGAAGTAGTCGAACGCGTTGACAACTTTACTTATTTTGGAAGTCTGATCAGCTGTAAATAGGTTGGTGTCTGACGACATCTCAGCACGAATTCGAAAAGCTCGTTTGGCTTTTGCCAACTTACATCACCTATGTCTTAGGCCAGATATCCGTCTATCAATTAAGGGACGAGTGTACTGAGCAGCAGTCCGTTCTGTTCTACTTTACATTACAGCTGAGAAATGTGGACATTAACAGTAGAAGATACTCGTAAACTACTAGTATTTCAACACAACAAGAAGACAGCAATTAACAATAGTCGAACACGAGCAGAGAAAGTCCAAGCACAAGCAGAGTACATAGAAGCAAACAAGAAAGTGGAGAATAGAATTAGAGCCGACAAGCAGAAATACGTCGAAGAACTAGCAACGACGGCGGAGAAAGCTGCAAGAGAAGGAAATATGAAACAGCTTTACGATACAACGAAGAAACTAGCAGGGAAATATAGTAAAGCAGAGACACCAGTCAAAGACAAAGAAGGAAGACCAATCACTGAGATTCAACAACAGCGCAACAGATGGGCAGAGTACTTCGAGGAACTCCTGAACAGACCGGCTCCAATGAATCCACCGGACATCGAAGCAGCACACACAGATCTTCCTATAAATGTCAATCCACCAACGACCGAAGAAATCAGAATGGCCGTCAGACAAATCAAGAGCAGGAAAGCAGCAGGACCTGACAATATACCAGCTGAAGCGTTGAAGTCAGACATCGAAGTAACTACAAGCATGCTTCATCTTCTATTCAAGAAGATTTGGGAGGAGGAAGAAGTGCCGATGGACTGGAAAGAACGATGCCTCATCAGGATTCCGAAGAAAGGAAATTTGAGCAAGTGTGAAAACTACAGAGGCACTACACTACTGTCAATACCAGGTAAAGTATTCAACAGTGTTACTGAACAGCGTGAAAGACACAGTTGACGCTCAACTTCGAGATCAACAAGCTGCATTCCGTAAGGACCGGTCGTGCACAGACCAGATTGAGACACTACGGATCATCGTCGAACAATCAATTGAGTCGAACTCGTCATTGTACATCAACTTCATTGATTATGAGAAGGCATTTGACAGTGTATATAGGAGAACGTTATGGAAAATTCCTCGACACTACGGAGTTCCTGAGAAGATTGTCAACATTATCCAAAACTCATACGACGGACTACATGGAGGACAGCTTACAGATGCATTCCAAGTGAGGACCGGAGTAAAACAAGGCTGTCTACTCTCTCCCTTCCTCTTTCTTCCGATGGTCGACTGGGTTATGAAGACCTCGACATCTGAGGGAAAACACGGCATACAATGGACAGCTCAGAACCAATTGGACAATTCGGACTTCGCAGATGACCTAGCCCTCCTATGGCATACACACGAAAAAATGCAGACAAAGACAGCCAACATAGCAGCAGTCTCTGCATCAGTAGGCCTCAAAATACACAAAGGGAAAACCAAGGTCCTCAAACACAACACGGAGAATAGCAATCCAATCACTCTTGATGGCGAAACTCTGGAAGATGTGGAATCCTTCACATACCTGGGAAGCATCATCAATGAACAAGGAGTTCAGATGCAGACGTAAAGACGAGGATTGGAAAAGCTAGAGCGGCGTTCCTTCAACTGAAGAGCATATGGAACTCAAAACAACTTTCAACCAACATCAAAGTCAGAATCTTCAATACGAACGTCGAGGCAGTTCTACTGTACGGAGCTGAAACTCGAAGAACTACAACAACAACCATCAAGAAGGTACAAGTATTTATCAATAGCTGTCTACACAAGATACTCAACATCCATTGGCCGGATACCATCAGCAACAGCCTTTTGTGGGAGAGAACCAACCAGCTTCCAGCTGAAGAGGAAATTAGGAAAAGACGATGGAAGTGGATAGGACATACAATGAGGAAATCATCAAGCTACATTACGAGGCAAGCGCTAACTTGGAATCCTGAAGGGAAGTGGAAAAGTGGAAGGCCGAAGAACACATTACGTCGGGAAATAGAAGCGGATATGAAAAGGATGGATAAGAACTGGAAAGGATTGCCCAGGACAGGGTTGGATGGAGAAACACTAGGAACAATTCATGGAAAACACGCGAATGTGAAAAGTACCAAACACCCTCAAATAGGTATTCAGTAAAAATTTATGATAACTAATTTTCTAAAATAGGGTTAGTACTCAGAGCTCTGAAACAATAGTACTGGAATGACATAACCCTTTGAAAAGAGTAAGGAATGAATATTACGTACTGCTGCATTGAGATCAATAATAGATGTGGAGATAAAAATTTCAGAAAAAAGATATATTTTTGAGACGGTGGAGATTTGTAGCTCAGATGGATGATTTTAATGGAGTTTTGTTCTCAACCAAATCATCCAGCTCAGAGAAAAAAACTCAATCGAAAGCGAGATATGTTTATTAAACACTTAATTAGGAAGTGAAGCACGAATGGGAACTACAGTTCGAAAAAAGAACTACAGCATAATATGATTAGAGTTCTGATACGTCTCCGGATGTCCAAGCTCAAGTTTATATATCCATTGACGAAGATGAAAAGCTTCGGTATGGCTGACCAAGCTAGCAATCATTGGTTGACGAATTCTTATGTAATTTTAACGGTTAATTATGATAGCATTTACCATGAAGAAACCGTTCGAGATAGATACGTTTAAGAAGGATCTAAAATGAACACAGGCGTCCGGGATAACCAAACAATGAAATATTTTATATTATTGGGAAAACGTTAAAACAATTGCCTGAAACTCACCATACAACTTCAAGTAACTGCAAGACGCATTCGTTCCACTTAATATCAAAAGGCCAGCTAATCGAATCAAAATATGATGAGCCTGAAAATAAATAGAAAAATTATTATTATTATATTTTATTTTAACACATAAGTATAGGTACAGGGAGGCACCAAATACATATGTGCCACACGAATCTCAATTGATTTGTGTGAGGGCTGTGATACTGCCCGGGTGCCCAAACCGAAGCAGGTGTTTTCTTAGGGGGCCACACCCCGAGCCTTCGACCTGAACGTCTGACCCGCAAGGCAGTGGAGCATCGTGAGGAGATGCAGTCCCATGGTAGCCGGTGACCAACGATTGGTTCATACGCCATTTGTTCCTTCAGGATACTGGAGCCAGCCCATGTGCACCATTGGTTTGGGGTCCGGTTAAAGCGCCGGACATTCGCTTTTCGTCCTCTCGTTTTCGTAGAGAACACCCCCGCCACAAGAAGGCAGTGAGTAGGACTTCCCTGGCAGAGGCTATATACGCATGGCCATGTGAGAGCATTTCGAGAGGGAGAGCGGACTCTCCCCACTCTCGGCCGTACCAGGGAATTTGGGGGCAATAGAAAGTGCCAAAAATCATAAAATCATTCGAATTAAAATGAACATCATAACCAATTACGATGAAAAAAATAGTGATCTTACATTCCGATTGCATTAGGCACCGACGTCAAATACAAAATTGCCAAAACTAAGCAATATATATATATATATATATATATATATATATATTGCCTAATTTTTTACTTTGACAGTATGACGACTAACATTTAAACATTCAGTACAAAATAGTGTGTCTAAATCTCAAACATGAACAAATTAGTTGTTTCTGGATAGCCAAAGCAATCTATGTAGATGCAAGACAAAAACTCGTTCATTTCTATAGGATGTAAAGAGGAAGAGATAGGCATACAAACAGTGAGATCATCTGGATATTTCACAAAAGTGTTTACTGTGGAAGATGGCAGATCATGCAGAAAAAAAGAGAAAAGAAGAGGTGGAAGAACAGCTCCTTTTGGTACACCTTCATAAGACACTAGAGACTCTGAACACTTTCCTCCAAACACTGTGTACTGTTCCCTTCCAGAGAGGTAGGAACATAGCCAGTTGGTTATCCAGCTGTCAGTGTTGACGCTGATTAACTTTTTAAGTAAACGGTGTCTTGATATAGAATCAAAAGCAGAAGTATAGTCCAGGAAAGCGCATCGAACATACTTCTTACCCTTTTCTAGGTTGAACACTATATTATGATGCAGAACAGCAACAGCATCTAAGGTGCTTCCTTTGCATCTGTAAGTAAACTGATACTACTGACTTCAAGCACTGATGCCACGTTTTGGTTTGGCCAACCCTAACTTTCTTCCAAATATCCCCAACACCGGTTAGCATTGCACGACGTGGTAATCGGTGTTCAGGCATACGCAACACGTGGCCCAACCATCTCAGTCGATGAAGACTTACAACCTCATTGTTTAATTTATCATCATTCCTTTATAAATAACTGAATGAAAAATTTGTTTATAGACTTATAAATTCCGACACACATAAACGTTTATACGGCTTTGAAAATAATGACATCATAGCAAAATATTATAAATAAGGGGGGAGGGGAAATAATACTCTTTTACACCGGTCATTTCGCGCTGTTTTACGCCGAAACCATATGATATAACAAATTAAGTAAATTCAGCACTAAGGATCAAATTTCTTTAATAGATGCAGCTCGATCATTTGTTCACTCTTAAAACTATAAACAACATCTATATAACGAAAGGTAGTATTCTATGTAAATTCTGAATTAAAGAATCTCTTAAATTTTGATCAATTGTGTGATATATATCAACGAGGTCAACTATTAAAAATTACACTTGCATAACTCAAAAATAAATTTAGCTTTTGATTATATAAATTCAAACAAACAAATACGCTTTTGATTCAAGGACCAATAACTTTCCACAAAATCAAGGAAACTGACCTAAACACTGTATGATTAAAAAAATACGACTTGAAGGTAGTGAAACATGAGTGGAATTATTTGGAAGCAGAAGATCGACAAGAAATTGAATTGAGATAGATGTGAAGTCGCTAATACGATTCGAAGTAGACAATCGATTGAATGCTACTGGACGGTGTGTTAAAGCGAATTCTGATTCCGTAGAAAGAAGCTCGTTAGACCTGGGTATGAAATAAAAACCCCGGTGAGGGAGTTGAAATAAAAACCAACATGAAATGTATTTTAGTGATTGATTTTTTCAATAGTAACATAATTTCCAAACTTCAAGGATAATAGCAGTGATAAAACAAGTTCTTTCTACCACAACCAGTATCTGAACAATAAAAAAGGTTTACAACATGAATAACACCCACACATCGGTCGTTAACCAAGTGAATATGTATTTGATGGGAATACTTGAAAAATGATAGTTTACTAACGAATGGGTGATTATCTATTTTTAAATACGATTTTTGGAACAGAACTCTTCGTTTCAATGAATCTAGTCCTCATAAAATGTCACAAGGTTGGAAATACGGAGGAAAATTAACAGTAGCTTATGCGACACACATCAAAGTTGGTCCAGATCCATTTATTCTTTATCTTCATCTGAATAATCAGTTTTGTTTTATTCGCTTATTTCACTCTCTTATAAACCATGTTCACTACGATTATTATTCTTAGCCATGATTGATGCTAGCATCAATTCGGCTCTTCCGCTATTCATCTAGTGAAAAATTGATTACTGTCAAGTGTAATATGGAGAATTAGACCAGTGCAAAACTGTAATAGGTCCTGAATTGCATAACATTGACTGACTTTTCTAAAACACAAACATTGAGCCAGATAGCACGAATCATTCGGTCCTAGTTTTAGAAGATACAACGATGAAACATGGGTATTTCACTAAGTTAATAATAATACTTAAACGCAACAAGTGACTTTATTTTTTAGCAGCAGTAATTTAAGGTAATTCAGGTCCATCATGAAAGTAAAGGATAAAGTGTCACGACTCACATAGACAGACTACGGCGTAAGGAAATAATGACACCATTGATTTTCTCAACAACTGGTAACAAACAAAGCAAATCAATTTTTAATTCCGAATGCAAGCATCCATATTCTCCAAACATAACTAGTAGATACTGCAAACATTGAAGAAGAATACAACCGCGATTCGGGTCCCAATTATGGGCGACATTATTCGATTCCGATAATGAGGAAGATATCTCAACAATGTTCTCAACCTATGATGTTAACATGAAATATAATGTAAAATTTAATTTATGTCGAAAGCATATATTGATGCAATAATTATGTTGCTCATTATTCTAAATCATTTTGTGACAGTTTAAAATCGATATTATGCATTATTGGTAGAATTCTCAATTAGAATTTGTGGACGTTACATGCTTGTTAATAATATAATTCTGGTCATTTCTAATGAGGAAAGACTCTAGAAAAGAAATAACGGTAATTTATATTTTATAAATACAACTTCACTTAATTAGAACTTTGTTCTTCAAAAGAGGAATGTGATTTCTTTACCAGTTAACAAAGTAATCTGAATTACTTCAAATTACTAAAGTATTAAACTTGACGAACAAATTTATCAGATTTTTCAAAAACTTCGAACTTTTTGATTATGTCTAACTAATTATCCAGTTGGTGATAGTTTTGTCAGCATCTGCAAGACATTAACTGAGATAAAATTATACCTATAAAAATGGAAAACACATATTCTACTGGAAAGCAAAAAAAAAAACATGCACCTGAACAAATATCGAAAACACCTGTTCTCGGCCGATTGTCGGAGATAAGCAATGTTGAGCCCGATCGGTACTTGCATAGGTGACAGGCCGCGAATATCGGGTGAAATCCGTCTGTAGCTCTTGTACGATTAATGTCACTCCCAAGCCCGAGTAAAGGAGAAGAGTCGGGCATAGGGCTATCAACTCCATCTCGTAGAAAACAACATTGCTAAACAACACTTTAACCAGAAGAAACTTCAGTGTCATGAGAGTTGAAGGATCTCCGTTTAGAAGAATTAGGACGCCTCAAAGTGAAAGCGAAGATTATTCGGAATTCACGGGGCCGATGCTCCTTCTGACAACCAGAGCAACAATAAATATAGGTACATCGAGTATTCGGACAATGTGGGATACCAGGAGGATCGATCAAATAGCTACGAAAGTGAAGAGATACAACTCGGCGGTTCTCACAATCAGTGAAACATATTAGAACCAAGATGGACAAAAAAAGATCAGATTCGAGAGAGGTGCTGTTGCACACTGGTCATGAAGAAGAAAATGCTGAGGAGGTTGCTCCGATGCATTGAATTCCCTCACAAACGCATACATAAAGCAATGTGTCCCACCGGATCATACTACACAGAACCAGATCGATCATAACTGTATCGGTAAAAAATTACGAGATCAATGGAAGACGTGAGAACCAAGAGAGGAAATGATATGGCTTCGGAACATCACCTGATGGTCGCCAAGATGAAACTGAAGCTAAAGAAACATTGTTTAACTGGAAAAAAAGCATAACGACGGTTCAATGCAGGCTTCCTTCGAAGTACTGGCAAACCCAACCAATTTAAGGTACTTCCAAGCGTCAGAGGATCTGTTCAAAAAAGAGGAAAGTACCATGGGGAAAACTGGAAGGGGATCAAGAAAGCGCTCACTTCAACGTATCAGGCAGTGCTAGGCCTCAAGATGCTTCATCATAAGGAATGTATCTCTATCGAAACCAAGGCCAGGATGCAAGAAACTAAAAACAAGGGCACACATTTGACAACTGTTGAACTAGTGTAGAGGAAGACAAAGGGCAGACCGAATACACAGAAGCAAACAAGCGAGTGAAGACGAGCATTAGAGTAGAAAAACGTAAAAGATCTGGCAACGACTAAGGTCAAAGCTGAAAGAGAAGGAAATGAGACAACTATGTGACACAACGAAGAAACTAGTAGGGGAAAATCGCAGTCCAGAGCAACCAATCAGGAGCAAACAAGGAACGCCAATCACTGAGTTACAACGACAGCAGGACAAGTAGGCAGAACACTTTGAAGAACTCTTGAATGGATCAGTCCTACTGAACTCATCGAACATTGAAACAGCACACACAGACCTATATATATATATATATATATATATATATATATATATATATAAAGGGCATTATTTTACCATATTAGCGGAAATATTTCTAACTCACCAGGGACAATAAACATATTTTATTACTATCCACTTTTTCTATGCTCACTGATAATGTATTCAAGGCTTCTTCAATTAAATTAGCCCATATGAAAAAGTAGTATGAAATACTTGGCTTAGTCAGTGACAACAGTGGAATTTTCAAGCTGTTTGGAAAATAAGACGAGAAGAGTATGAAAAAGTGAAAAATATCGAGGAGTTAATGAAAAGTGGTTTTCATTTACTAGCTATCGTACTATTTGTAAAATTCAAGAATGAAAAATGCTGTAAATTTTAAAATCTACGGTGTAATAAAGGGCAAACTTATTAACCTATACAGCACGTGAAAGTTCCTACAATTTACAATAAATTGGTTTTTATTTTATTTTATTTTAACACATAGATATTGGTACAACGAAGAACCAAATACATATGCGCCACACAAATTTCATTGGATATGTGTGTGGGCTATGATTCTGCCCAGGTGCCCAAACCGAAACAGGTGGCTACACCCCGAGGATTCGACCTGAAGATCTGATCCACAAGGCAGTGGAGCATCGAAAGGAGATGCAGTCCAACAACAACAAGTTCATACGCCATTTGTTTCTTTAGGATACTGGAGCCATCCCATGTGTACCATTGATTTGGGATGCGGTTAAAGCGCCGGACATTCGCTTTTCGTCCTCTCATTTCCGTAAACAATACCCTCGCCACGAGAAGGTGGTGAGTACGACTTCCCTGGCAGAGACCATATACGCGTGGCCATGTGAGAGCATTTCGAGAGGGAGAGAGAACTCTCCCCACTCTCGGCCGTACCAGGGCATTTGGGGGCATGCAACTAAAATGATGACTTCAGGATATTTTTGACCTTGTAACATTTATACCACATCGTATATCCGCTAAATAAGGCCACTTTAAAGGTATTAGCATTATTTTTATTTTTTATATAAGTAGTAAGTGTACAATACTAAGGGAAATAACGATAGGTCATGGTTTGTTGGGATCACTACTAATCCGATGATCACTCCTTTTATAGATTACATTTGTATTGGACATTAAACATGAAAATTCACTACTTACGTTGTACACAGCTCCTCTGTGTCTGATGGCAATAATCTTCGAAGAAGTGAACAAAACATAACGAAATTTCTAAATGAAAACATAGGAAAACATACATTGAAGTTTAAACCTTACTAGAAAATTGAATTGATTTCTCTCAGTAAAGTTCATAGACGTAAAGATGTTAAAATCAACAAGAATTAATCGCCTGAAAATTTTCAATCTGGACCACAAAATACACTTCAGTATACCACACTAAAGATTTGTGATGAAAATAATAGACTCTACTCAATAGTTTTACATAGTTGCTAGGCTTTCACTGTATCCTCATACAATTCTAATAGATCTAGTGGAAATAATCTGGAAAGGATTTCAAAATCTAGAAATATAGTACAGTATCAAAATTCCATTTTAGGTATTAAAACAACATTCACAGTTATAATCAAAAATTAACTTACTGTCTGGCCTCACACTCTGGTTTTACCTTATTGTACCAACATCTGAAACTTCATGTTAAAAAGAAGTAAAATACGACAACTAAACACAAAGTTATTATATCACAAATATATACAAAATATCAACATAATATACTGTTATTTATTATATTTGAATCAGTGGGTATCAGAAAGTGTAAACACGTATTTCGTTGGTAAAATTTTGTCAAAAGAAGTTGCTAGCCCTGTTTAACTTGTCATTGATAAGTGATATATCTAAGTATTTTATTAAGCAAACTGCTTCATGAAAGACCACAGTACACTTGCTTAGTATCCAATTAAAACGTAAGCGAAACTTCCATGGAATAGACGATCCTACAGTTAAATGGTTAGCCGAAATTCTACAGCCAGTCAGAATTCATCTCAATAAGTACAATACAGTATATTCATTTGTTATTCATTATTTTAGTCGATCTCAATGTAACTGGAAATTGAGTGATACCTTAAGATGCTTCTTCAATCTTTATAAATGTGCCTCCTACTAAAATAATTTGGTTCTAATGTAATTAAAATTAAAACAAAGAACTCCGTGATGTTCCTAAAGATTACTTGGAGGAATTACTTTTACAATGTATCTCTAATGTTCAGTTTAAATCACAAAATAAGTCGATCAGTAACAACGTGGAACTTCGTACGTACGTACATCAGTTCGAGTTGCCATACCACATTAGCACAGAGATTCAGTTATCGATTCAAATCCCATAGTGGTAGAGGTACTGAAAGTATAAGTAGAGATAGGGAACATTAAGGTTTGATGATGTTATTTAAGGAGTATAGTCCAGTGGAATAAATTGGGAAAGAAAATAAAGGACATGAAGAATTCAGAAGATTCGAGTTTCAAAGAACACAAAGAGTGGATGCACCTGTGTCATTGCAAACGATTTTGAGCCATATCATTCAGGGTATCTGACCATCGGTTGCTATCATCTCGCGGTCCTCAACCAGGTAGTCTACATCTACCAACATGACTCAGTCCACTTTTCAGTGACTTGATGGATTTGTGCCATGTTTTGGTCTGGCCGCCCCTAGCTTTCTTCCAACCTACTCCTAAACCATAAAACATCGCACGTCGTGGCAGTCGGTGGTCGGGCATGTGCAATACATGTCCCAGCCATCTCAACTGATTAAGTTTCACTACTTCATCAATTGATTTGTCATCTTTACCTAGTACCCGTTTCCTAACAACTGCATTACTTACCCGGTGGTCCCAAGATATACGAGCAATGTTTCGAAGACATCTATGGTCGAATATTAGTAACCTACGAATATCCTCTACTCTTACTGGCCATGTTTCACTGCCATAAAGTAGGACGGAACGAACTGCTGCGCAGTAAACATGTCTTTTGGTTGATAGACAGATATCTTGCCTACGCCACAAATGATGCAAGTTGGCAAAAGCTAGTCGAGCCTTCTGTATCCGTGCTGAGATTCCATCTTTCTCTGCGATTGTTTCGCTAACAGTTGGGTTCCTAATACCGGTTTCCTTAACAAGTCTGAACAGTTGCCTGCTGTTACCTATTGCCGCTGCCTTTTCCATCTCTCTTGCTTTCGCTACCCACCACTGCTCACGATCATTGCGTAGGCTTCTTGTCAGCTTACGCTTAAGCTGACTCCGCTCTTCGTTATGTTCAGAGCAAGATGGAATGAGTTTTCGAGCATCTATCAGTGCGGTAGACGCTGCTGAGATACAGTGTTTCTCCCTAACCTTATGATTTACCGTACTTGCAGACATCACTGCTGTTTCTACAGCTTTTCGGATGTCATTCCACGCTGCCTCGGGGTGGGCATCACTTACATGGCTGCCTAACTGTTTTTCTAGATGTTCCTGAAATATACTCTTAGCTTGACCATCATTTAGTAGGACCCTAAGGGGTTTCCTTGTACCATCTTTCCTACGTCCAGTAAGGCGTAGACAAATACGCGCTCGCACTAGAGCATGATCTGAGTCTAAGCATGTGCTCCAGAATGAGCGACAGTCTTCTATCGAGCCCCCCCCATCGGTGGCTGATAGCGATGTGATCTATTTGGGTCCAGCGTTGAGACGAATTAGGGGGTCGCCATGTCAAAAGATGTTTTTCCTTATGCTTAAAGTTAGTGTTTGCAAGAAACAGGCGGTTATCTGAGCATAGCTGCAACAGACGGTCGCCATTATCTGTTCTTTGAGCCACGAGACCATAAGATCCACTCAGGTGTCCTTCCCTTTCGCTTAGTTTACCTACTTGAGCATTAAAGTCACCAGCCACTATTACTACATCTGAACGCCTAGCTTTTCGGAGAAGGTCGGAAAGCTTTCTGTAAAACTCATCATTTACATAATCTGAGCTGCAGTCAGTGGGAGAGTAGGCAGAGACGACGAAGAGGCAACGACGAGTGTCCCTATCTTTTCGAGTCCTTACTGTTCCGTTTAGTCGGACAGCGCACAAACGACTCTCTACTGGGATCCAGTCTAAGAGAGCTAGTTCTGCCCTAGGACTCAATGCTATACCTACGCCAGCGAGGCCACGGGAAGCAGCATCAGGGCTTCCAGATACACGGAGCGTAAATCGAGTTGGTTCGTTACTTTGATATGGTGAGGTCAAATGAATGACACTACTCAGATCCTGTATGCGCGTTTCAGAGACACAGCACACATCGATGGCACGAGATTCTAAAGTCCTAGCAAAGGAAGCCTGTTGTCCTATTTGGCACAGTGTTCGGACGTTGAAAGCTCCTACATGTTGTTTAGAGCGTGGTTTCAGGATACCAGGAGTAAAGTTCCGCGTACTCGAATCGTTTGACCTGGAGTTGCGGGGTGACAAAGGGATGTGAGAAAGGTTAGTCGTGGAGATAAGAGATTTATTTGGAGGTGTAGGAGGGATTTGAACGTGACCGACTTGGCCTCGTGTGCTGTTACGGGTATGAGGGCTGATATCACTTACCGGTTGCCCACACCGTGGAAGGGTATTTCTTGAGGAACCTGAAAAGGAAGTCGGATTAGTGTTGGTCTTAACGACCTGAGAGCGTGACCGCAGATCCCAAGGGACAACTGCTTGAGGCCGGTCACGCAAGGCCTTTTTGTGGGAGGTTTTCAATGTGTTAGCTCCGTTCTTCAAACGGCCTTACCGTCGGAGACGGAAGTCTGTGGGGTAAGGTGAGGTGTGACATTTTTAGGGTTGACCTTTTCTAAACCCCTCCTTCCTTGTGAGAAGGCAGCATCGTTGCAGATGCTGGTTGTCCGAAGGAAACACCTTACTGCTGTCACACCTCTGTACAGTCAGCAGTACGACTTCGCCCTTAGACCTTGAGTTGCTGCTTTTAGTCTTACCGTTCTCCAATTGACCTGACTGGCATGGTAGAACCTACAGGAACATATGTTCCAGCCAATATAGCTCGGTTGGGTCATCACGATAGGCAAGCCAGACCACCATGTCAATGTAGCAACTACAAAATAAAGTCAACAAAAACTAATGGTGTACTAATAGAATAATCTATGTGTCTACCTTCTAGATGACCGTTTAATGACCAATCTGGAAAAATGGTAAAGTACCAGGATTAAGTAGCATATAAGCTAAACCACTAAATTCAGATATAGATATAACTGCAAAGGTGTCACACATTATAACCAAGAAAATTGAAGAGAAATAACAAGTATTATTTGGATGGAAAACAGGGATACCTCGTCAATATATTAACCAAAAAAGATATTGGTGTAGGAACTACAGAAGCATCAAGCTACTAACATTACAAGACATAGTTTTCAACAGTATTGTTGAAACGAATGAAAAATCTAAAAGACGTCCAACAATCTGAATCTTATTAATACTGATCATATATTAAACAAATCGCGACATTGAGGATCATTTATACGAATATTCGTCAAGATTAGAACGAATAATTTGACAAAAATTGGGCGTCGAGTACAGAGAAGTCATTATATTAGGAAACTTGGATCTAAAACGAAATTCAATTTGATTTAATTAGTAGTAATGAGAAAAAACAGTGTATTGAAAAAAGCCTCTTATTTATACAACCAATTAAAAACGATGGTGACATAAATATGAAGACTCTAGAGTTTGCTATGAAGCGAATTCACATGCTTACCTCATACTAGGTGTAAGTAAACCTGAAGATCTGTTCGAAGTATCAAATCCAGTGCTCTAAATAAAAATTTTGTGAAATAAAGATACACAGGAAGTTACATAAGAAGTTCAGTTTAAAGTAATATAAAAAAATATGGGTTTTGACATTCAGATTAATCACATAAATTTGACAGAAAATAACTGTGAAAGTCGTAAAAATAAACTTACTAGCCAACTTTTGAAATACAACCATAAAGACCGCACTACTTCTAAATTTATTCCACATGTTTCTGATAAACGAAGTAAACTTGTAAGGCAAACGTGAACTTCGCTATCATTAGGGGTAGCCTCCTATAAAATAAACAGGAAAATCAGTTTTAAGTTCGTTATAATGCATATGTATGATTTCTCTGGTATTATGAACAGTGAGCAGGATGATTTATGATGAAATGAAGATGGAATTATTTAGAAGTGATAATAAAATCGGTTTGGATTAAATCAAGTTTTCCGTGACGCCAATCTCGAAATATATGCTTATGGACTATTCAAACTATCCTGTTCCCTAATCAGAGGGTGGATGAAGTGAGCAGTAGAAACTCAGTGGCTAATGATCAAGCACTAAACAGTAAGCTACCACTTTACGCATTAACAAATAAAGAGAAATTAGTTTTTTCTTATAGAAAAAGTGATCCATCCACAACCATATCTATAAAAGCGACCCGGAAATTTCGATGACAGCTAGAATGAAAGTAAATAAATCGTTTAGAATCTAAAGTTGGGGGTACTGTCAGATTTCTGGTAGGAATACCAAAAGTGGGAAGCAAATATAGCAAACGGCGGAGGTACAAGAAGAATTAAACACGCATTTTGGATCCAAATGCAAGCCCCTAACCAAACTATAATCAATAAATGTATGACGTGTCGAGAGAAACGATGTGATTTTGATTGGATAATTAAGCGAAATAACGCTGAACCCAATCACAAGAAAGTAAACGGAAAAATCTATCTGAAATAAATATTAACCTTATGATACAAGCGTCCTAGCAGTCCGTTTTTAACCTTTAATAACTAAATTTACAATCAAAAATAAATATCAGTCGATTCTCATCATCTTGAATACTCAATCCTCTACAATTGAGCAACTCGTATCTCGGTTAGAATTTATTATTTCGGGAAAGGCTTTGATTCTAATCAAGTGAGTTTAAATTCTTATTTCATGTATTTCGGGGTTAACTACTACTAAATTATTTTCTCATCAGTTTCCTGACTGAAATTATACAGTATTTTCACTATCATCAGCAAAAAACTCCTTTTTATACAAAACCTTTCCATTAAGGATCCGACTTGATTGGTATAGGTGTTATGTTACGTCTTACTCGTACAATATCATTACAATTTCGGAGAAACTTTTCAATTAACTGTGCAACTTCCTATTTACGCTAACCATTGTTAGACTTCTGAATGAATTAATGCACGCAATGTAACCAGATTAACTACGTTTCCAACCATTTATCACATATGAAAGTAAAATATTTGGTTGAACTGTCACATTGAATCACATTTCGAAGTAAAATTTTAAAAATAGTTTCTGAACTTACTCCTAAGAACTGTTGACGAATCAACCAGACCACAACGGAATACTTCTGTAATGTACCCAATCCAACCTTGGCATAAAAAGGGAAAGGTATTAGAATGATCGTTATTTAGTTTGATTAGTACAAAATATTTCAATCACAAATAAATGGTGAGTTTGAAGCTCTTTGAACATCATAGGAAATCTTCGACAACAAAAACAAGTGCACACATTACCAATATGAATAGCAGAACTTCTAATGCCCCAAGAAACTTTATATCGGAACATGATGCAAAAGAAACATAGTAAATAATAGACTTCAAGCTTGTATATGATACCTAGTCCGTAACCCTCAACGTAAGTAAATTTTATATCTTAGTTTCATTTCTTGACAAAATTTGAAGAGATATGAGCTCCGAAATTCTGAATTGAATATTAGGTCTCTTGACGTAACAATATCTTATTATAAATGCATGTGTTGTTTGTAAATTTCGTCATGAAATAATTATTTAATGAGGAATTCTGCTAGATGGTTTGACCGAGCTTCTATATTATAACTTCTAAACATTGAGTCAAGAGTAATTGAATCTAGAAATTTAGAGAGAAATAGCGTTAACTTGGGGAAGATGTTTCTTTTTAAAAATAGTTCAAGATGTATGATTCACCTACACAACACAATGTTTATCGTTTAATGTAAGTCAAAAAAAGAGAAATACACATTATTGCGGGAAACCGTACATACATGATTTTCTAAAAGAGGTTGAAATAACTAAAATAACCGACCATTAACATGTTAGCAAAAATAAAAGTGAATGAAGTACCTTAGACTGATTTGTATGGTCTGCATACAAACTGTGTATGGGAGTAGTGTATGCAAGTACATTCCAATACAAAGACCACACAGTCAGAGAAGATTGGTGGGAAATATCTAAGCTTGAGGATTGAAAGTAGGACTTGAAATTAGGACGAATACACTCTAAAGTATTGAATTCTATTAAAATTAAAATAAAAAATAAATGAAATTATTATACAGTGTAACCTCTGACTTACATTAAAAAAAATATTAACCGTTAAATAATGTTAAGATCCTTTTAGATAAAAAGGAATCAACCCGAACATGAAAATCAAAAGTTCAACAGAAATAAATGAATACATTTGAAACAGACAAGTCTTAAATTCAGGTGATATTTCATCCATTTTGAACTCAACTATGACAAGCTCTAGACACTACTATTGGTTTTTTTAAAAACATAAATACACAGAAACAAACAAATTAAAATTGCTGCTCCCAAAATTACAAATTTTATGGAACGTAGCTTCAAGACTCAGTGTTGTAAATAGTCATACACACGTTTTACAAGGAGCTATTTATTGAGTTATAAGTTTCCTTAATTACATAGTCAACTAAATTAAATACAACTGTAATGTAAACTGTTTGCAGAAGTTTGAAACACGGATATAAACCGTATGAATGTTTGGCGTTGGGTGCAGATTTATCAGAGTAGAGAGGAATAATCTCAAAAAGTGTGAATACTTTCAAAGTGTCTATAAGAAATTAGTAATACGATTTACCAACAACTTCAAACTTATTTTAGAGCTGGATTTATGCTAAGGTTAAATTGTGTATTAAATAGACATGAAGCAGACTTAATAAGTGTTAGATGTCAATCATGGATTTGTAAAATCTAATAAAACATACCAGAAAATTCTGCTCTTTGTTGAGCATTCAACTTGATCATTTTCCCATGGAAAAATTTGAACCAGTTTTTCTGAGTCTAAAGATAATGTGAAAAGTCAAATGTATGGCTGGAGGAATAAACCGTGTAAAAACTTAATATATTTACGGTAAACTTACTAGGCTATGTGATGATATATTTCAAGGAAAACAAAGGTAGGAAGGTACAAGTAGTTCTACTCTCGGTACTCAAACTTGCCTCCAACCCTCGCACACCAATGCTGATCGGAAAACAGACAGGGTCCGCTATATCTTAAGGAAGTCTTAACATCGATGTTTGTTGTCTATCCGAGACCCGCATTCAGCACTTTGGTGAAGTACTATAAAGTTGCTCTCCATCTGTCGCTTCGGAAAGCTTGTTTCATTTGCGTTTATCCGGGGACCGTATGGCATCTTCGTCTAGTTCTTGTCTTACTAAACGCCAGAGATGAGGCAGCACTGACCGATTGGATTCAAATCAACAGTCAGTCATGTGCTGTTAGATTAGAAAGCTCCATCACAATGAGTATTCGGTGTGAGAAACGATGTCTTTTCTTCATCGACAAGCTGCATCCCGGATGCGACCAAGCATGAGTTTTACCACCTCTTAATTGTTCTTCTACAAAACGTGCGCTCGACAAGTATTTTAGTACTAGCCGCAGATTTGAATGAGCAGGTCGAGGGTCTAGGCACAGAGAAAATTCGTTTGGGTGGCCGATGAAGACCTGTTAGTCGCAGGCCACGTAACCGTGACCGTCTACTGCAACCTGGTGCAGACTACAACCTGTTTCTGGTTGGCACTAACTATCGCGACAGTCATCACCAATGTGCTACCTGACATCCTCCCTCTGTATGTCAAGTCTGGACTCAGATTGATCACATTACAATCAGCTACCATCAGCGTGGTTGTGTGCAGGACTGCCGCTCCTTATGGGGTATTTATTTGTACTCGGATCATGCTGTTATTTTCGCTAATCTTATGTGTTAGGGGTCAAAAAATCTATCTGCCTAAACAAATCGATGCCAGCAAATCGGTTGCAGCTTCTGTTGCAACTAAATATCAAACCGAGATAGGTTCAAGGCTGGCTATCTATCAATCTACTGTTATAGTTTCTCTTATTACGACCCAGCTATCCCTATTGCTTAGTATTCTTGAACGCCAATCCACTCGATAAGTCCCCAAATCAGCACAGTTGAACAGGAACGAAATTATACTCTGAGTAACGAGAGCAGATGGGAGTAAGAAGCGCAATAAGAGATACGTTTGTATATTTATAGTGTTTACATGACAATATTCTAGAGTCTTCTCTAAATATCGACTAGTGCTGATTAGATAAGAAATAGCCAATCAGCGCGCACCAACACAATCGTGTACGGAAAGTGCGGCTTCGCAAAACGTCCCGTTTATAAGTGTTGGGTCTCTACAGACTCCTTAAAACTCGTTGAAGCACGTTGATCTACTCCAGCCAACTGAGAGTTCGACGATAAATGAAGATTGTTACATAATAAAATTTTGCAAATTCTGCCCAATGACCCAGAAGCCTGATAGTCGGAGTGAGCTGAGTTGGGGGCATAAGCAACTCCTGGTAACTCCCGGAAGCTCTTCCAGTTAATCCGAGCAACTGGCAATAAGAAGTCTGGTGCAAATGAAACAATCTGTGTCCGGGAATTAAAGTGTTCCAACATAGTGAAACGAGTCAATTGTTATCCTTATCTTCAAAAAAGGTTCACATCATCTATGCAACTATCGAGGGAAAAGTCTACTTCCCGCTACTGCGACTGATGTTTGTGCCATGCTATCTCTGATAACATACTAAGATTACAATCTCTACGACTTTTACCAACATTCAGTGACTATCAGCTGAAACTATTAGTCTAAATGCTTTAACACTTTTCAAACATATTCCTACTCTATTTAGCACATCACGTCACAGTGGGTGTTACCGATTTAAGTGCGTCAAGTGTTTCAAACCCCTTAGTTGATGTTTACAACGTCACTAACGAAGTTATCATTTTTACGCGCTGTACGCCTAACATCAATATCAGTCACTAAGTGATTTCTTCTTAAGTGAACAGTACTTGGAAATAATCCAAAATAAAGAAACTCGCAACCGCTACTTTGCAGATGATTAACTGAAAGATCATTGATTCAAAAATTATCTTATGTGAAGTTCTTGAGCACTAGTCTATTTACAATCGACTTTCACTTCCATTAACTTGATGTTAGCACTACAATCCTTCAGTCAACATCTCATAACACTTTAGGACTACAGACTACCGTAGATTCAAGCCAAATAGGACACTATGAAGGACTATTTATCTAAATAGCAGCGACTGATCTACTCTCATGTCGAATAAATTAACGAACTAGAAAATTTCACAACTCGGACTAGATTGTGAGGGGAAATCGGTTGGCAAGTGTTAAAAAAATTGATTGTTGAGGGTTTTTTACATTGAAAATAATAGATATAACACTAACTTAGACTTGATAAAATTAATATATAATATCTATTGCAGTACACTGACAGAATATCAACCATTTCCACATACCTTTCAAACTATACAACCGTAAAAGTTGGCATTTGGATCTACTAGGCTAAATAGCTTAAAGAGACTGTTAAAATAAATGTGTATCTCCGGCGTACTTGCCAATAATACCAACATGACTTTGTGCTTCACTCAGGCTGGGTAACAGAGATCAAATTTATCAATGACTGCGATGTAATTTGAACGTTTGGTCCTTTAAAGTAGACTGAGTCTCAAGAAATAATGACGTATCAAGACAATTTGTAGTGCGTAGATAATCAAATAATACACATACAATAACGAACCACCAAAAACTACTTCCCGTTGTCTTTTCACGGTACCACTAACCCTACGAAACTTATTCATTTATTTTAACACATAGATATTGGTACAAGGAGGCACCAAATACATATGCGCCACACGAATCTCAATTGATTTGTGTGAGGGCTGTGATACTGCCAGGGTGCCCAGACCGAAGAAGGAGGTTTTCTTAGGGGGCCACGCCCTGGGCCTTCGACCTGAAGATCTGATCCACAAGGCAGTGGAGCATAGTGAGGAGATGCAGTCCCATGGTAGCCGGTGACCAACGATTGGTTCATACGCCATTTGTTCCTTCAGGATACTGGAGCCCATGTGCACCATTGGTTTGGGATCCGGTTAAAGCGCCGGAAATTCGCTTTTCGTCCTCTCATTTTCGTAAACAACACCCTCGCCACGAGAAGGCAATGAGTAGGACTTCCCTGACAGAGGCTGTATACGCGTGGCCATGTGAGAGCATTTGGAGAGGGAGAGCGGACTCTCCCCACTCTCGGCCGTGCCAGGGCATTTGGGAGCAAAGACTCGGCCATAGCACAAAAAGTGTAGATCTTAGCAAATTTGAGATGTATTAAGTTGACGGCATTGCCAAAGACATTTTAAAAACGTAGTATGATAAAAATGAGTGCATTACATTCAATTTAGACGCAAACAGAAAATACAAGACTAAAATCCAGAATGAAACCGAAAAAAACATGCCTTTTCTACGAAATGGATTATGACAACCCATAAAAGTGTATCACACGAGCACCTTTGAAAGTTAGTCTAAGCACTGTTAATATTTCACTTGGTATTTACCAATCCTGAATAAAGTATCAAATTTTCTAACACAATATCCAGAAAGTAACCGCACGCGTTTAAAGAACTCTGTGGTTTTAATCCAAGGGTCTCATTTACGAATACCACATATTCTACGAATCGTTGGATTAGATAAATACAATTACCCGCGTTATTACAAAGAAAATTGAGGATTTTCAGTACTGCCAACCATATTTCCAGGTGAGCATGAATAAGATTTTTGTTTGCCTATTTGGACGGTAAAAAACAAAAAAAATACTTTTGCTTTCACCAAACTCGCAAGTGGTCCTAGGAAACCCAAAATTGAACGGATACAGCTAACTAATCCTACAACTGTACGCTTTTCAAACTCCGTTTCCCTGGAAAGCTATAAAGGAAGCTATAGGAAAATCTTACGTTACGGAAGAATATAGTGCGAAAAGAAGGAATGAAACATCGTTCCTAAGGACTAAAAAAGGGTTAGGCAGAAAAAAATCTCACCTGAAGAACCCCGCTGGAGTTCAAAAGTAGATTTCTTCAGCAAGACTAATTTGTTTCTGCATTCAAGATCAATTTTTATTTTTGATTATCAAACCTCAGTAAGCATAAAATCTCTTGAGGATCAGCCCACTGAACAACGGTTGTGTTCGTTTCAAAACGTCTGGCAACGATAAAACCGAAACTTCAAAACATACGACAAAAATTCGATTGGATCTACTGTATCACAACATAGCCCTAATAACGGTACTGGTTGTTGCACATCATCTGAAATGCTCGATGTACAAATTCACACTTACAATCGATTTCGGCCAACAGGTCTGCATCTAAATCTTCAGAAAATATAGTACCCGTCCCCTTAAACTCCGGTGAATCCGGAGGTGTCCAAAATGATGGGTCAGACATTCAATTAAGGCGACTGAACATCCGTGTTACGAGATCGTGACCTTATCCCTCTAGGTCACACTTTCAGAATCAAATGGTTCAAGTTGTTGTGGATGAAATGGAAGAAGCTTCCACTTAAGGAACTGAGGTATCTAGTAACAATCGATCTCTGATGCAACAAGGCAAGGATCTAGATATATTTTGAATCGCGCTATTTGAAGAGGACAGTTGTACTTTCCCTCCCTGATTAATTTTTATTTTTTCATCGTTTCTTACGTATTAGAACGGTTTTTTTCACTTAAATTGAATTAATTTAAGTTAACGCATTTTCCAAGAGTACCTGTTTTGCTTCCTAAGAGGTTTATTGTCGATACTATGGAGCATTTTGTTCCTATTGTTTAAATGGTTCAAATGGTTGTGGACGGAATAGAAGCTTTCGCTTAACAGGCTCCCGTGTCTAGTAGCAAGGGATCACCAGTACATCCAGGCAGGAACCTAGGTATATTAACGATAAAACAGGAAAAC